TTCTGGCTCCTGCCTATCTATGTTATGCAAACACACCTGGGCTATTGCTGGTGCAGGGCTTGCTGCCTGCTGGACCTATCTTCATGGGCTGGCATTGCCTGGACACTACAAAGGACCTGGCTGCTCTCACCCTCCTGCCCAGCCTGGTGGGGTAGGGTAGGTGCTCTCCAGTGCACTCATGTGCCTGCATCACACATTTTGCAACCAACCAAAGCAATTAATAGCTGGCTATTTTTCCTGCTTTGCAAGGACATTTAATTCCTAAGGCCTTACTTGTGTTTTTGGATGTTGGAAGCTGTCTTCTGACAGCTTCTTTTTCACCATGTGTGCACCTGATATAAACCTATCATGATTTTCAGCATTTCTTCTGTACCGTGATTTTGGATTTTTCAGCAAGCTGTAGAACAAATTCTTCTATTGGCATTTGGAATAACCTAATATTAGGAATAACCTAGTATTCCTTCATATTTCTTTCCACCTCTCTTATAGCAGATAGCCCCTACATAATCCCCATAATTGCTGGTGGTTCTCACTTCCTTGGTGCTTGTAAGCTTACAAATTGGAACTGTAGTATATCCTGGGAAGAGAAGGGCAAAAGCAGTGTCTTCATCCTTAGCAAATGTTATCCCTGGTTATATTCACTTTGCATACAAATAAAAAAAAAAAAGTAATATTTTATTAGGAATCCATTGGATAGAATAATGAACTGTAACTCAGAACTCTGCCACTGGCTTATTGGGCTGTCATTGCATAGTCATGGAATAATAGCCTGGAATAAACATTAAATCATTGTAATGCCATGTGAACTTTATAAAGGAAAAAATATCATGCAGGGGGATACACCCTTTCTAATATGCTCCTTACAATGGTATTTTATATACATGCATGTATGGATATATAGCATATATATGTTTATGTTACACATAGTTGAATGAACTAGATGCCAATCTGTCTCATGCTTCATCAAAAGTACTGTAAACTGTTTTCCATTTCAAGGGCTCATGTGTTAGTGTATTATCTTTAGATGTACATTCAGATTCAGCATGTTTTTCCACTGGAACTGATAGTAACCGTGGGCATCATTTGTTACAACTTCATTATTGCTGACAAAAACTAAAGAATGTGGACTCATTTATGGAAATCACACTAAATTTAAACGCCTACCACTTATGGTGATGATAAAGAGTAGTCTTTTTATTTGTAAACCAGGTAAATGTGTCACACTGATTTTTGAGCTTTGAGGACTGGGATTTCCTAAAAGTAATTTGTGCAAATTCTTTTGTGTTTGCATTTGCTTTTTAAATATCATTTTTGGGTGTATTGGCAACACATAATGTTTATTTTGCCTTCTTTTATGAAAAGTAATAATAGATACTTTCAGGACTGGATCCTGAATACCTCAGCTGTTATATATTGCTGTAGTTCTGGAACAAGCAGGATTACCTGAGCTGAGAATCTACCCCCCAATATCAGCTGTAAGTGCCACTCTTTCAGTACTTTATACAAATGTTCACTGTAATTTGTCAGCAGCAAATCTGTCATCCAAGAGTACAAACTGCCTTCTATCAGCCATTACGTTTCTGTTATCATCATCAAGTGTAGCTTAAGAGAATCTGTGCATTGTTTCTTTCCTTCTGAACAAGTTCCATCAGAATAATTGACCTGCTTTTATGGTCAATTATTTTTAGTCTCTGCGATTTGTTACTCCAGTGTTTTGCAAAGAAAAATGCAAAACTAATGCCCTAGAACAGAAACATTCAGCCAAATTACTTACCAGTAATCCAAGGAATCATGGATAAATCCATTCCTCAAGTGGCTTCTCATTCAGAGCTTTATATCATTTTCACCCAAGGGTTGAGGTTTTTTTGTTTGTTTGTTTGTTTTTGTGGGTGGGGGAGTTTGTTTTTGAAAAGTAATACGCTCTCTGCCCTAGAGCAACTTTATATAAATCTCTTCTGCAGAGTGTATCTGCCAGTGCTGCCATTCCACCCACCAGCATTCACTATAGCAGCACCAGCTAAAAATATTTAAAGGGGCTGTTTCTGCTTGTTTGGTGCATTTCATGTTTCTTCCTCTTCTTTTATTCATCCTGCAAAAAAGTCAATTTTTTGGTATAATTTAAACCCACTGTTTTGAAGTGACAACCAGTAAACCGCCTTGTATTGTGATTAATGAGCATTCAAGAATAGTTTGCTGTAGCTTTCATGTATGTTGGGGCTCATTGAATTTGTTTTGAAGTAAATGGAGAGATTCAAGTCATGGGTTGGGGACTTCATTGAGTCACTGGCTAGGCTGCATCTTCCAGCAGTTTCTACCGCTGCTACTGATGTTTGTGTGATGGTGTTATATAATCCTAGGGAAGTACAAGAAATGGCACTTGTGGAGTATGGAATGTCTGACCAGTAAAACAGTAAGGAGGACTTCAGTTTCCAGCTAAAATCTAGAAACTGTGGTCAAGATGTGTGATAAAAATCATGAAATCTTTCAAAAAAAAAAATGCTGTTTCAAAAATCAAAATAAAGTTATTTTGTTTGACTTAATGAGTATGTTTTTCTTCTGTGAAACTGTGAAACTATGCTGATTGCTTAGAGAAGTCCGGTCTTCTTCACCTTCCCAACTTGGCGTTTTGATCACTAATATTTCTTTCTGGCTCTTCAGGAACACAATTTTATTTTCAGCACTCTTCTTTGAGCTGAATGCCTTCCTTCATAATCTCTATTAGGTAGCAGGAGTGATTTGTGTCTTGAAAGGTTTTACAAATGTTATATTGAACCTTTCACTCCAGTGTTGTTGTTCAAAGGTAGCTTAATTTAGAAAAGTGAACCCAAATTATCTGCTATCAAGTGACTTCTACCTGAAATGATTACCAATCCAGGATTTTGTGGAAAATGCATGATTAGTTCTTCTCTCAGCACAGAGATGATGACTAGCAGTGATCCCTGTAAGATGTGGATTTCTTACATGGGTGAGGACAGGTGGGACATCTGTGTGATACTGCTTGTTTGGTTAGGGATAAGAAGGGTATCATGAATGTAGATGGTACTATTTCTTCCGTTCTTTTTCTGATGTATTCTTCTTTTGCACAAGCAGCAAACAGTTCAGTTTAACTATGAAATGGTGTGGCTAATCCTACCCTATTAACTCTCCTGAAGTGGTGAATACCATATGTATATATATTTGGAAACTTAGATGGAAATTATTAGAAAAAAATAAAATTTAAAAATAAATGTGATAATATTTTATCTTCAGAGTTCAGAAGATCCAGAATGCCATGACCATTTTAATTATAATTGTTATTTTTACATTTTTCTTTTGTTTTTTTTTTTTTTCTTCGCAAAAACCTAGAGTATGATTTCACGTTAATTAAAATTGTGTTGTGATGCTTCTGCAGACGACTATGTGTAAATAATTACAGTCTGAGGAAAGTGATTCATAATGTGGCTCTAAGCCTGTGCAGTTCTACTTTGTGACTAATTAGGGTGTAAGTAAAGTGGACTGCAATGTCTCAAAAAGTTCTTGAAAACTTCTGACAGATCAGTTTTTAGCCACTGAAAGCATCACCAATATTTGCCCTACAGATGATTCTATGGGAAATTCTAGTGATTTGTACTTGGGGCATTCTTAATGACAGATATACTAATTTTTGTGATGTGTCCCTCCTGACTGCTCCTTCTATTCTTCCAACAGATAAGCAACTAAATCTTGAGCTTTCTCACAAGAAGAGGTGTTGAGCTGAAGCCATGCCTCCTCTTCCTGTGTAGGCATTCTGCTCAACACCAAGTGTCAGGAGTAATGTGATGCCGAGGCCAGTCCAAAATCCAGGACTATGGCTGACAAGATTTTGTTTATTTGTTTTGTTCTTTTTAATTTTTAAATTTGTCTCACTTGTTCAAACCTAGACCTAGAATATTTATGAATTTCTCCATGGCTATTTGTAATAGCAAAGAGAGTTCTGAGGGATGTGGGATTTCTGACTGCTAGAGAAAGAAACATACAGAGTTACTCAAGGAATGTGCAAATGTAGACAGGAAAATACTTAAAGAATATAAAGTACAATGAGAATATTGCTGTCACTTCTTTAGTCATATGCTACAATCAAAAAAGCCTGCATGTTTGCAGCTACAAAAAGATCTTTATATTTATGAACTTTCAAAAGGCCTAATCAATATAAATAACGGCTTGAACACAATGACATCATATTTATTCCTGGAGTTGTGCATCTCAGCTGCTTAGTCATTTAAATCAGTGGAAATAAGCATAGCAGTTAGTTCCAAAAGGTCAGAGAAACTACTGTCTTTTCAGCTTTGGATCAGCTGAGGGACTCGAGTTTCTTGGAAATATAATGCCAAGGCGGCATCTGTGCATCTCATTTCTTTTCTTTTTCTTTTTTTTTTTTCCCCCTTGGAAGCAGTGTTGTAATTAGCTGAAAGGGCAGATACCACAGTCAGTAGAATACCATACGGTGCAAGTTCCTTTCCATTTCCTCTTCCACTTGAGACTAGTTTAAAGGGGAGTTTTAGTCTACATTGTATACTGAACTATTTGAAGTTCTCTTAGGCGAATGCCAGAAAGCTGTTGACATTTTTTTAATGAAATGAATACATTGTCAGTACAAGTATGGCAGTTCTTTCACCCTTTTCTCAGAAAGAAAGTAAGTAAAAAAGCTTTCCTTGGAGAGCCATTTGCATGAAAATTAAAATCAAAATGAAAGCAAAAGACATTTTAAAACTTGTGATATGTTGTGTTCTTTGTCAAAACAACATGGTTCCTGGGAGGAAGCTACTAATCATCTAGACTACAGTGTAATCAAATTTCTTTTTTTTTTTTTTTTTTTTTTTGTGTGTGTGTGTGTGTGTGTGTGTCAGATATGTTGGTCAATCAAATGTTATGATCAGAACACATTTGTCTATATAACAGTGCTTTACTGTCTTTCAGGGACTGCTATTCCTTGCATGTTTTTCCAATGGACTCTTCATCATTTTATTTCAATATGTTTGCAGCCGCTGCTCTGCTGTCAAGGTGAAGCTGTTCCGCAGGGTTGCTGAGCATTTCCATTTTGGGGTATACGCGACTTTCTCAGAACTGGGAGCTGCACACCTGCATTCCTGGGACTTCTGGCTGCTTGTACTGCTGGTCTTGTTGCTTTGGTTCTTGAGACTCTACCTGCATTACTATAGCCAGTGGCTCTTCCTTCAGAGCATCTCAGTTCCTGTTACAAAGTGAGTTCTGCTGTCTTCTTTCTCTCTTGGAATATTTCTACTAATTGCCTAATTCAGTGAATGTTATGAAGAGAATTGGTGACCACATCCAGGTTCCAGATATGTACGTGTGACCATAACTGGAAGGTGAATGTCTTAGTTGTATGTGTTTTAAATTCAGAACAGGATGTATCCATTTATGCATCTTGTGCCATCCTTACCTCTTACTCCTCTGCTACATCCAGCAGATAATGTATCTTTTTCCACAAGAATCATTTATCATTTTGGATGAGGTATTTCAAAATGCCTAAGAAGTGCACAAAACTGAAGAAGCATTTAAATCATATTCGATGTTACCAACGTGATCTATGAGTAAAATACTTCAGAAGAATTTAGATTTGATATATCAGTTTTCCTGTGAGGACTACAATGGGTTGGCATATTTTAACTATATGATACATTAACTTTGGATCAGGAATGAGAGCTCTCTAGAGAGCTTCAGGAAAACCATTACATGTCATTACTTGACATGAAAAATAAAAAGATGAAGAATAACTCCACAAGGTGATGGATACCTAGTTCCCCATATGTGTCTGTGGGGAAGAGAATAGGCATGTAAAGCAAAAAAGAACTGCTGTAGTTAGAGTAGGAAAGGTTTTTCCAAGGCAAACAGATACATATTGTTTTCACTTTAAAGTATAAAAAAAATTAAATCATTAATAGTTCGAAAAAAAAAAAATAAATCATTTGGTAGGAGCCAGTAACTTGCAACTCTGTGCCCTGTCTCTGCTTTGTGCTAAATTGGGTGATTGGGATTATCAGTTACAATCTGAGCAGGATGTCTGAGCAGTATCTGGACAGTGCTGGGTATAGTTAGGGCTGCCTGCTAGATCTTTATGCAAGACCAGCCATGTCTCACTTCTGGCCTTGCAGAGACCAGGCAGGCTCAGCCATCTGGCCTTAAAACTTCAGGGAGGCCAAGCATCAAATCTGTGAAAGCAAAAGAAATGGAACAGAAGAAAGCAAGGTGTGACAGAGAGATGGTCATGTTCAAAGCCACTAATCACAGCTGTCCCAGGCAGTCAACTGCATTAATAAGCCCTCACATCAAGATGCCCTGGCTCAGCATCCAAATCTGGAGCTACGTACCCTCAGAACAAGAGTCTGACTTGAATACCTTCCAGTCCCACATAATATTGTGGTAGTACTCAGATCAGAATCAAAATGCAAATCAAACCAGTTTACCTGTAGCTGGGAATGAAGTCTAAGCCAATTCAATCTTAAATTTCAATATCTGTAGCTCATAATATCAGATGCAGTTCCTGCCTTCTAAAGCACCAGCATGTTTACTTCTTAGGCAAGCTTTTTAAATCCCTCTTCCATGGTAGCGACAGGGATGTTTTTGTCACTTGATCCTACAGATTGTGTCTTCACTTCAGTGACACGTTTGCCACTTAGTGCAGAGCCCAAACACGCTGAAGTTTGCAGAGGGGTCAGCTCTTAGGACCTGTGCTCATACTGCTGTTGGTGGGAGCTAGCATCCTCCTGTAACATAGCTGATCAGTCCCAGGGGCTTGTGCATTTGCTGAAATGAGAGTCAGAGAGGACAGAAGGATGAGCAGACAGGATGAAGCTTTGTGGTTTTGTGTAGCTTCATACTCTTTAGGTCAATGTTTTATGGCCAACATAAGCACACAACTTCACAATGTAATGTGCTGTATGCATTATTCTACTTTTTTAATGGTTTATCCAGGAGCACAAACAAACTTTCTTCCTGTACTTATTAACAGATTCAAGTTTTTCCCTCACACTGTTGAACTGTGCTACCAGAACTCCTTGCTGCAGACCAGTGAAGAGTTGGTTGTGGTCGTGGTGGGACCCCTAACCTTGAATGCTGGGTTGCTGCTTATGGTCCTGATCAGATGGGTCTGTCAGCAGCGATTTGACTCATTCCCTTCCTTCTTGTCAAAGTTTATCATAGCTCTGGGACTCTGGACAGTGCTGGACCCGTTGGCAGTGTTTATAGTGGATTCATTCCTGGGGGTAAGTCACTTAAAATAACTTGGACGTGAGTTCCTTGACGTAGAAGTTTGTTTTATTCAGTGAATCAGCGGAAGATACGAAATTCCACCCGTGGCAATGGAACATGAAAGTTAAAAAGAAATTAAGTAATAATGTTATACATTACCTTTTTATTAACAAAATTCCCATCTAATGGAGTCGCCGTGTTTCTGCATAAAGCAAAGATCACTGCACGAGCCATATCTGGAGATGAGAAAGTGAATCCACCGCTGGAATAATTGCATCTGCTTTGAAAAGGATTATTTCAATTTTGGATATTAATGGAGATAGATAGGCTAATGATTATTAGCATTTCAGATTTTTTTCTGAGCATTGAAAAAAAACTGAAAAAAACTAGCAAAACAAAATGGACATGTTGTTATGTGCTTCTCCGACATGGGAGATAGTCAGTACTCTTTTCTGGCATATCTAGAAGACCTGTAAGGTCACAAATCATAGAATGGCTTAGGTTGGAAGGGACCTTAAAGATCATCTAGTTCCAATTCCTCTGCCATGGGCAGGGCTGCCCCCAACCAGCTTAGGTTGCTCAGGGCTCCCTCCAGCCTCGCCTTGAACATCTCCAGGCACGGAGTACCCACAGCTTCTCTGAACAGCCTGTGTTAGTGCTTATCACTAAATTCCAACCTAAATTTCCTTTCTGTTAGTCTAAAGCCATTCCCTCTATTTATTTCCTATTACTATCAAACTGTGTACCCCTCCTGTTTATAAGCTCCCTTCAAGTTCTGGAAGGCTGCAGTGAGGTCTCCTCGGAGCCTTCCCTTCTCCATACTGTGCAACCCCAGCTCCCTCAGCCTGTCTTTGTAGGAGAGGTGCTGCAGCATTCTAATAATCTTTATGACTCTCCTCCAGGCTCTCCCAACAGTTCCACATCTTTCTTGTGCTGAGGACCCCAGGCCTGCACACAGTACTCCAGATGAGTGTCCATGAGGACAGGCATGAAGACAAAGAGACAAAGAAATACCCTCATTGTGCAAAGTCTTGAAAGCAAAGATCCCAGCTCCACCTGTGCCTGCATATGGGCTGCATAGCCCACCTATACATTGGTGGCAAGGAGACCTCTGCCATGTCAGTGTCCAATCACCCAGAATATGACTTTCAGATCTGGGTCTCACAGTGGGCCCTATCAGTGGGCACAGGGAGCTGCAAGCCTTTGTAAGCTTCTGTGCTATTGCTGTTCCTCTGCCTGTCTTCAGTGACATCTGTTTCTGCTCCGAATCAAGCAGTAATCCACCATCTTTGTCACTGATCTGGTATTTGCACGTCTCATGATTCCTTGTCTACTAATCTGTGCTCTGCTCTTAAGAAGTCCTTTTGAAATGTGATTCTCTGTTGTTTACGTGCTGTTTCTGATTGCTCTGCTTTTCAAAATTAAAATTCAGCTGCCCAAGAAGTTTAATTGGAGCTTGCTTGTGAGGTAACTTCCTAATTTGCCTAATGCCTAAACTGCCTAATGTGGCAACACACTAGCTTTCACTTGGACAGCCTGTTTTTTTTTTTTTTTTTTTTTTTAATGTTTGTTTGTTTTTAATGGTGCAAGCCATGCACAGATTTGAGTTTCAGTTGTGATTATTATCATGAATAATTTTTTTTCCTAAGGAGAAATATGTTTCTTTTTCACCAATATATTGGCTAGAAATATCTCAGTGTTTAAAAAGATTTTCTTCCCCTCTGCCCAATATTGATGTAGTCATAAAATCTGAAGGAAATGCTGAGTTAGGTCTACCTTGTCATTACCATACTTGCATTGAGAAAATCATTGCCTTTGACTTCTGTTGAATTGTGCTTGGTTCTAGTCAGGCTGGCTTTGTTACCAATTTCAAATACAGCTTCTTTTCTTGGTCAGAGGGAAATGTGAGATATGAATAAAGTTACTGAGTTTTTTGTTATAGGGTTTAAAAAGGCACAACTCTCTCTGTACTTCATACTGAAAATTTGGCAATTTTACCAGCAGAGATTATCGTTGGGAGAAACTCATTTGTTCAAATATTACACAATATAATGTGTGTATCCCTTCCAAAATGAAACTGTGTCTCTTACATGTGTTTTTGGTCATGCATTTGTATGTTTTTTTAATCTTGGCATTCTTTCAGCAGCTATTTCAGACTTACTTGCCAATCTATTTTAGAGCAAGTTTTGAAAAAATGTTGTGCTGTGGTAATATGAGTAATTTTAGTGCTGGAGTGTATTTTACTATTCTAAATTGATTTAATACTTACGAAAGATGACGGAGAGCCCTGGGGACAAAAGTTTCTCCATTTACTACTTTTTTTATTTTTAAGGAGAGACCAGATAAGAATTGAATGTTTGCGGATTTCAGCTCATATTTCAAGATATCATGTCAAATGTGTGATCCCAGGTTTGCTTTGCAGGCAGATCATTCTAGACATACGAAACTTGTCCCTGATTGTGATGAAATCAGCTCAAGGTCCAGTTCTGACAGATTTTTTCCTAGGATCAGTCACTTTGCACAGCTTGTAAAATTCAGAATAACGCCTCTTCACACCCATACAGATGTGTGTCATACTAAAAAACATTACAGACTGTGAAGTGCTCACACAACCATCACTGTGTGTTGTGACAAGTACCTAAGACAGATGTTGATGAACGCTATCAATGAATGCCACTTAAACAATTTAAAATAAAGGCGCCTTTCTTGGATTGTACCTTTGAAGACCACAAAAAAATATTCATTATTAGAAAAATATGGATAAAGAGATGCACTTCTCCAGACTGTTTTTGCCTTTTCAGAAAGGACAGTTTGGATAGGAAAGAAATTTATTTGCCGCTCAGACTTTGCCTCTCTGGAGGCATATCAGAACGTGACTGCTCTGCAGAGGGTTTTCCTTGGTAGACAGTCGATATTGTAAGAGGATGGAGGCTTTTTTTTTTTTTTTTTTCCCCTCCAAGAAGAGAGGACAGAACAGGGAGATAAAGAAGAACTAAGAGACAATTTTTATTTATTTATTTATTTATTTAAGAATACTGACAGATCTAAATTAGTGACTACTTTTTATATGCTATTACTGGTCTCCTGGGACCTGTAATTTCCATTACAGAAACCTGGCAGTGTTGCAAAGGGTGGAGAGAGAACAAAAGTACAGTCAAGAATCACATTCCATGTATAGCTCATCACAGGACTTGTAAATGTTGCTCTTTTACTATGCATGTCACCACAAAGGTGGCCAACAATAGGGAGAAAGTTTTGACTCCCTAAGGATTTGTCCAGGCAGGTTTCTTCAGAATATGCTGGTTCCTTAATCCTAAAGGTCACCAACTCCCTCTCTGAAAGATAAACACTGGAAGTTTTTGGTGCTGCAGTTTCATATGTCCTTGCAAAATGTGTTAACATTATTTAGAATGAATTGTATCACTTTTCAAAAAGGAAAAAAAAGAAACGTGAATGGAAGAATTTATTTTAGCTCTGAGTAGTAGAAGACCTGTGATATGTAGTTGAATTCTTCTAAATTGATCCAGCAGAGGGCAATAATATGTCAATACAGTAGTTAGTACTCAAGAATTAGATATGGGGGAGGGGGAAAGGGAGGGGGGAATAGATTTTTTTAAAACCTTCTCCTGTATATTACTGGAAATAGATTGAAGCATAGAGCGCTGTGAAATTTTCAGCATTCTTTGTGAATCATTGTAAAAAGAAAATAAATACGCAAACTGCATTATCCCCAATTAAATTAATATTTTTACTTCTGTGAGTATGAACTCCTTATATACAAATAGTACGCTAAGTTTTAAGATGCATGTCCCACAAATTACAGTTAAACTTTTAGAAATAAATTCGTGTTCTTCTGTGTCTGCATGTACAGAGCCTAATTAAGTTTGGCATTTTCTTATGTTCATCTTTTTTCTCCCACGGCAGCGACTTGCATACAGTGTAGAGAAACCCATTGCTGATGCTGCAAAGCTCTACTGGGCGTTTCTAAGATCAGAGGAATCAGGGGTTTCTGGTGCACTAATCACTGTGATGCTTTACACAGTCCTGTTCATCATCTCATCGACAGTGTTATACCTTTACTTTCTAAGGTATGTCTTTTTATCTCATTATTCCCATAGGAGCTTAGGCTCAGGGCTCCTTCTCCTGTAAGATAAAATAAGGTGACATCAGAAAAGATGTTTCAGTGTCATATATACTGAGCCTGAAATTGCAGACAGTCAAGGTGGGGTTAGTTTCTTTAGGGACAGTGAGTGAAAGATGGAGCCATATCTCAAAGGGAATGTTATTGATATCACGAGTTTTCACAGTGTTTACGAGACTCTGTTCCACTGGTATCTAACAGTGGTGTCTGTTTTCAAAGTGTAAGCTCTGAAGTGTGTGTCCTTAACATGTAGGTACTTCGGAAAACCTTTTCATTAGACTTCCTAGGAGGGTTTTTGCAAGAAACAGAAAAACTTTAGAAAGTTATGTATGGTATGAAGTACAAAATCTCTCCCTGAGTACACAGCAGCCCCCAGACTTGTTATGTCCATGGGATGATGCAGGATATTTGACCTGATGAGGCTTAAACCTGATACATGACATGACTTAATTTGAATAATCTTTCCTTGACTTTTGTCTGTTAGCAATATTAATAGACTTCTGCTCATCATGAAATTTGACCAGTTGCCTTTCCTGCCACCCGTCTGGCACATACCATTAACTGTACAGGCAGTAGGGAAAGGTCTGGGACACTGGAAGCAAATGAGAAAGATTGTCTAATATATTACCTAATAAAGAACTGAATGTTGCATTGCATTCACTGCAGCGATTATCAAGCAAGCACCAATAAAAATCTGTACAAAGAGGCAAATCCAGGCAGGTGTGAAAATAGCAAAGCTCAGTATGCTCCTTGCATTTGACAGAAACATCCCTCGATCTTTCTCACACAAACTCCACTGCAGCAGGCAGAAAAAGATAAATGGCAATCTACATTTCTGCAAAGTATTTCAAAGCTCCTGCTTTCCTGGAAGCTGTACACAACTCCAACGAACTGGTAGTCTAGTTAATTAGTTTTTGAGATGTTAATGCCTTCTTAATCATCGACTTAATAGTTTTGAATAGCTTCATAAGTTTTAGCTGCTGTCGTTTATTACTCAGGAAAATTAATTTAAATTAAAACATTTGTAAGGCAGGTTTTTATGAGAATATTACCAACATCTTCATTGTCTGGGGAACAGGTGCAAGATCATCAAAGGTTCCTTTCCTTCTGGATCAATTTTCCCATAATGTTTTCCAATAAAGGGGTGGGGAGAGAATGTTACTGGGGGAAAAATGTTGTCTTAGTACGCTGCATTTTTAAAATGATTCATAGCAAAATACGAAAGCTAAGGGAAGATAACAAAATCTGTTATAGTGCATAAGGTCTTTGAAGTTTTTTGCTTGATTATAAAAAGAAACATTTTGAATACTGGAGAGCATGCAGAGTAAATTTATACTGTGAGCTTCTGAAATTGGATCAACTTTTTATCTTTTTCTTCCTTGTCTGTCCACAGCCTAGCACAGTAAGAAACTTAGACCTGGCTAGGGCTCTTCAACAACATGTTATCCACTAATGATAACGTTAAAACAATTTCAAATATCTTTAAGGAAACCTTAAGTGTGTTCCCTAGATATTGATATTTGCTTTTGTTTGTAAGAGGAAAATAGTATGATAAACAAGGCCGTAATTGCCCTTGGTGGGGGTATACAGCATCCCCAGATGCTGTATCCCAAAGATATTCAAACATTAGAATGTTGCTGGACTCAGAAAACATGTTTTTTGCCATTACAACCACCACACCCTTCCCTTGTAAGGTGAACCAGTACAAATCTTGAGGGATGTCTTCTGTGTCTGAAGAAACCCACCACAGGAAAGAGCTGGGTGGCAGTTAACTCCACTGATTAGAATTACTCAGCCATTTGCCATTTAGCAGAGCTGTTCAGAAGAGTACAAAAAAAGGGATAAGAACCATGAACTCACCAGAATGCCAAAGCAAGTAGGGGAAATGCCTGTTTCTGCCACAGTAGAGAGCTTCCTGGCAGCACTGATGAACAACTGGGAAGCTACGAGAATCAAGATAATAGGCTATGAAAGTCAAGATAATAGGCAACTTCTTGTGTCTTCATAAAACAGCAAACCTCAGCATAACTGGCTCTTCTTGGATAACTTGAGTACATCTGCGAAGGAGGGATATTCTAATTACTTTATTAAAAAATGGAGTAGCATTTCTTGCAGTTCCTTCATTTGAATTCCACTAGGCATTAGAAACAGTCAGTAATTTATTGGTGAAATGTTTTCTGCACTGTGAGAAAATGCAGACCTATTTCAAACTGAAAGTGTCTGCTGGAAAGTGTTTATGTCTAAATTTCCTGGTATTGAATTTTCTTGTTTTTTTTTTTTTTTTTTTCTTTTGAAAAGCCTCAAAATTCTACATTTTTCAATGTTAACAACAAAATGATTTTAATTTTTTTACAGCTTTTTTTTTTTTTTTTTCTCCAAAAAAGCATGTGAAAGGAAGAAATAAGGGTGCAATAAATTGTTGTAAGCATTCTTCTCTTCAGTTTTTTGTTTGTGAATTTTTCAGAAATCCATTTTTTTTTAATCTTACTCTGGATAGTAAGCCACTTCAATCTTATTTTGTGATTCTTTCTGACAAATTAAGGAACTTGTAAGATTTACTGGGTCTCTCATATCTTTAGTAAGTAGAATCTGAATTTTGCTTTGCTCTATTACATTAGCAATATAAATTATTACTATTGTATCTGTAAAAGCCATGTGCACATACAACAAGTGTTTTATTAATGATAATGCTAAAAAAAAAAGAGTAAAATCAGGTATCAGGAGCAGGCTGAGTACATTTGGGCAAAAGGAACAAAGCTGGAAGACAGGCTTCACGATTCCTAATTAATTCAAAGTTAATTATATTGTTTATTACCATGCACTTAAAATCTTCATATAGAAAATGTTTATGGCAGCAAATAGACAGTAATTTAACTGCATTAAATTTTGCTTTGTTTAAAATAAGAATGTTACATTAAGTGAGTTTAAATAAATGGTGAGGTCTTGTTCTTGTTTAGCAAGATAAGTGGCAAGCCATTGAAATTGCTGACCTGGAATTTCAAAGACTAACAGCACAGAAAATCATTTTCCAAGATGAGCAGAAGGCCAGAGAGACCACCAGCTTGATTACTAGGTTTTCAACTAAGCACAGGATAGTACAAAATTATGGGTCAGCATTTGCAAAAATGTAGTAGAACAAACATCTAACGTAATCCAGATAATAAGAGACAAATGTTTCTTTAAAAAAGCTGTAGAACATGTAGAACTACACCTTGAATGGTATTGATAATATTTTTTTTTAAAAAAAAAAAAACTATTCCATAGTGTGTTTTAAGATGCCTTAGATATCCTTCTCTACCTTGCACTGATTTATATTCCATGCTTTGGAATTTTTTTTATTTTTTCTTCATAACGAATTTCCTTATATTGCCAGGGTTACCAACATCTCAGGTTATCTTCCATCCAATCTCCTCTTCTGGTAAGGGAATCCCACACTGACATCTTGGAATCTTAAACAAATTTCTGGCTGCAACTACAAAAAACTGTTTCAAATAGAAAAAGTGCAAGAGCTAAAGCTCCTTCTGAGATCAAGTTGAAAATTGGCCTTTTGGTGCCATTCCTTATTTCTATTCTATGCTGAATCTCAATTTTGGGAGGAATTGTATAAACATCTTGTTGAGTGAGCTTCTCTGCAATTACTGTGCTCACTGTAAGGCACGATGTAAAGCTACTGCAAATACCAACTTCATTCTGATCTTGTTGACAAGAATTCAGAGGGTTAAAGAAGCTGTGCTTGTGCTCACTCCCAATTGCCGAGAAATGAAAGACCTGTACAGCACCACAGAAATCTGGGTATTTTGTTGGTTGCAAAGCCACACAGCAATCCCCACACTTCTCATGACTACCCAGCTGGTCTCTGGAAAGGATGGAAAAGTTAAGGCTGGCACCAAGCAATAGCTGAATTGTAACAAAGTATGAGCGTGGAAGGGAGTACAAAAAGAAAGACCTCAGTTCAATATCCAAGATTGAGATTCCACATTTTCTGATCTTTTTTTGGTTTTAGAATAAAAGTTGAATGAGAAAGAAGCTCCATTTGAATTAAACAACAGTGTTTTGAAGTTTTAGAGTTCATCTAAGGCTAAAAATGTGACACTAGGCTTTTCCAAGAGCCTCACAATATTTCTTGGTTTCACCTACATTAAGAAATACCACACAGCACGCCTTTCTTGTGGTAGAGAATTTTACTGTGTGGTGCTTATTCAATTCCCTACCACAGCACAGAAATGTCACAGAAAAACAAAGCCAACAAACAAAATGAACTTTTCTTACATCAAGAGAAGTTTAGATTGTGCAGGCTTCAGGTTTGGGGTTTTCAAAAATGATGAGTAGTTCTTTTTCTATATGATGTGGTTTGCCAATTATTTCACTCTGGCACAACAGGACTTCCAGTCATGCCTAACTGAAGATTCTCCATTTTACCACTGGGAACAGCCCAAAGCTAAAAACCAACACTGGACATTTCTGAAGATCAGAACCTTCTTTGGAAGTGAATATCTTGTGACAATTAAAAGAAATTGCTGCTTGCAGTTATGTGATTCGACTCAAGTGTTGTAAAGGACCTAGAAGGTTGGGAGGGAGGGAGTTATATGTTGGAGAACCTATAGGTTCTTTTCTTACTCATAACCAGAAGATTTAGAAGTCTACAAAAGGGTAAGATACACTTATTTGCATGAAGAGTCCTTTCCAGAAAGAAACAAACATGTCATTTCTATCCATAGGCTACACAGTGAGGGGTGGCTGTTGGATGTATTTCAACGCATTCATGGTGAAGAAGGTACATTCTTCGTTCCATTGGACTTAGAGATTTCCATTCAGGAACTGAGCTACATTATGAAAAGAGCTGAGCAGTGGAGAGGAATCAATGGTGAAAGACGGATGGTGAGTGGCTAAGAGTGATAAAAAGAGTCAGTGAATCACTAGTCCAAATCCTTTTATTTCCTGGATGAGGACAGAAATACATAAGGAAATGATTTGTGGGGGCTTTTTTTTTTTTTTTTTTCTTCGAGAAGATAATTTCAAGAGAAGGGTGTATGTCCATTCCCTGAACATCCTGAAGGATTTCAGTCTGCTTAGCATCTCTTTAGAGAGATGACAGCATCACTGATGGCAAAAATTATCTATGCCATCTGAAGATTTCTGATTGGGTTACAGAGACTTGCTATGTGTTCAAATATGAGTAGCATCCTAGAAAAGCTCTCAGCAAACTGAAATCCTACAGACAATTTGAATCTGCTCTCTGGAAGGGCATGGATGGGACTGATCAGAGGAGGGGGACATGAGGATAGTGGGTTAGGAGTTGTGACAGTCAGTGTCCCAGCCCTTCTAAAACTATCCAGAAGTGTGGACTGAGTTGGAACTGTGCACTGAGAGTTAGGAAAGGTCTGAAGTTGGTCTGAGCTACTGTGGTTATCAAACAATTCTGCTTTCTTTTCTGTTAGGACATTAGCCTATATCCAGATTTAAAGCTGTGATGTGCAGGAAATATAATTATACCTGTGTTTGCAAAGTGTCTGGTTTTGGGGTTCCCATCCACAAATGAAACTTCTGATCGAAATGGCTTGCAAAGAATTGAAAACACCTGAAGCTACATGGTCAGTAATCTGCAAGGTATACATTTTTCCTTGTTCTCCAGATACCTTTGCATCATCATTATTAATTACAATAGAACTATCTCAAAAACAGCTCTTGAACAATAATTAACATGCTCATCAACTGCATTAATACATCTATGACTGCCTCAGAACACAATGCTTTGCTCAGCAACTCTTCTGCTTCAATGTAAAAATGAACAGATTCTAGTTAGGAAGGAAATTATCCCTCTTAAGCATGTCTGAGTTGTTTGTTTTCTTTTCTAGCGCACTGGAACAAGTGATTTCACATTAGGGTCTGCAGGTTTTTCAAGTCTCTAAAGCTACCTCTGAAAGATCAGCAGTTTATATAAATATATAGCCTCAGTTGTCACTGCTATAAACATCTGGTACAGTTGTAACTATTTTCCACTTTTTTTCTTGATGACAGTTTGGACCCTGCAAGGAAAAATAAAAAGGTGAATGTGCCAATTGAATGAAAAAGCAGATACTCAGTAAGCTTTGTTTTTCCTGAATTGCAGAGCACCAAGCTGCATTTCAGCATGGGGGAGGGAAAGCACTTCCACAGCCTCAGACATTCCCAGTTTTTATACAGATAGTACTTATTTGCTTTATAACAGCAAGAAAATAAGCTTTTTGTGTCTTTTTTTTCCCCCCCACTTAGAAATTTTTTGCAGAAAGTCAAAACAAAGCTATTAATGACTGGTTACTACTACCTTTGTTAGATGTTAAGTAAGGTCAAACAAAAAATATATGGTGGATCTCATTTTACATGCCAGGACAACCAGTACCATATGGAAAAGGTGGTGGATAAGGCAACTGCAAACAACTGCTTTTCTGTTTTAAGTATTGAGTACGTTTCTAATGATATTACCAGCAGATTGTTTCTTGTAGTAGTGCTTAAAGATCTAAGTGACAAAAAAGAAAAAAAAAATAAAAAAATAAAAAAAAAAAATAAAAGAAATGACATGTAGGAAAGGATGGGAGTAAAAAATAAATGGAAGAGAATGGAAATAAAAATTGCTTTTCTATACACAAATAGTCCACCCATGACTGACAGAAATCTGGAGCGTCCACTGCTATAATACAGCACGGTATCATATTTAACATGACAGTATATTATGAAACATGACCAATAGCTATGATGGCTATGGACATAAAGTAAGCATCTAGTTTTGCCTCATCGAAGGGGACCTGACCTTGCTCTGAGATCCTTTAAAATGTGGACCCAGCCCCAGTCAGATCCGGTAGCCAGAAAGGTGCAATCAGAGCAGAAAGAGGACACTTCTGTGTGGCATAGAGAACAGTGCTATCTCATTTCAGCAAAGTAGGATGATGCCTGCTTTAATCGCTGTCTTAAGATCCCAAATTTTTGACTCTTATTCTGTCTGCATCTGCATCATTGTCATGCCTTTCCTTTATATCAGCCCTAGCTAAAAGCAAAGCTGTGATAGTGTCAAACATTCCTGTTCTCTGTGGGATGTGCTATTGCAATCAATATGAGCAGTAGGATTCTCCTATTTCCCCCACTGGGCTCAGTATCTGCCTCACAATAGGTAAAACTTGTGAGTGGAGAATTCTGCCCCGAACTCCTGAGTTATCTGCATGAATGTTGTGGAAGAAAAACCATGTTCTCCAGAAACGAGCGATGTCCCCCTTCCATTCCAAGCTTTTACTTATATTTTGGTGGAAAAGAGGACCACTGGACCAATTTCATTTCTTCTTTGATAAGTCTAGGTTTCTAGTAAAAACATGTTCCGCTCCTGAAATAAGTTCTCCCCATGCAGCAAGACCAAGAGCTGTGTTTTCAGTTCTTTCATATTCCTTGGCATTGCAGATACTCACAGATCCTTTTTTTCTGCCATGAATTTGCATAAGGTATTTGTCTTGTCTCTTTCTTTATGTATGTCTAGTTGTACAAGGTAATCAGTATGGAAGACACATCACTGGGCCTTATTGCGTGCATTATTAATGTGTTAATTTTTAAATAAGATACCAAATTAACTGTGAGCAATTTTTAAAAAGAGAAGCGTGAGCATATCTTATATTGCTCCATATAAAAAATATGCTTTAAATGGAGGTCATTCAAGTAAATAGTCGGTCAAACCTTCTGGAAAAAAAATAGGCCTGTGTCTTTGCAGTATTTTCTTGCTATTAACCATGTGCTTCTCATTTTTATTCCCTGGATTAAAAATTGCCCCATAAATGGGTATTTTATAATATGCTTAATTTCCTTTTATTAAATTGATAAATGCAGGAGCAGAGGACACATTTACAGTATGATGAGAATTTAAGGTTATTGCATTTTATAATTTTTATATTGTTCAGAGAAGCGATTTGTCATTTGGGGAATGACATCCATGCCATCATTTCAAAGTATTTTTAGTCATTCTTTTGATAGGAAAAAGGTCACTTTCTGTAGACCAGGAAGACATCACTCTATTAAACTAATTTGCCTACATGCAAATTTTGTCATTTTTACCTCATTAAGTATTTATCATAGAGTAAAAAAATATATATATTCATGAAGGGGCAGCTAGCAGCCTGATGGAGCTGGAACTAATATTTTGCAACTCTAATGATTTTTTGCATCCTTAATTAGATAGCATAAGGTTGATATGATTAGGTCAGGATGTAGTGTTTTTCATTAAAATACATTTTAGAAGCTGTATTCATAATCTGCCCTTGCAATTAAATAATGAGCCTATGAGTTTAATATTATCGACCCAATTATTATCCCATGGAAAAGTATACCTTAATAAATTTGTGCCGTAGGACCTTAATTAGCAACAAAACGAATTATATTTCCAGGTACACAGATTACATGGCCACAATCACATTTACACAGCAGTCTGGAATGCACTGTGGGGAGAGAGCCACCAGAGCCCGGCACAGCACAGAAACACACTTGATTATTTTGGAAGAAGTCATCTACGATGTATTTAATGAGGCAGGCTGCAAAGAAGTAAAAATGCCACCTACAAATTCAGGCAGAAGCATTTGCAGAAACTGTGTCCTGTGAACCTTCTAGAAGGGGGAAGCATGAGCTCCCACCTTCCATCCTGTTACAGATAGAGAGATGGATGTGACCATTTATGGAGCTTTATGGAAGTAGGCATATGTTAACTTTGTTATCCCATATTTGGGATACCAGAACCAAGAATAAATAGCAATCCATTGACCCACCATTGATCAGGATTTCAGTGTAGCTTTTTTCTTGTTGGTAGATGTTCCTAAAGTGACAATATCTCGCTGTTCTCGTCAAGCAATCACTTTCCTAAAGTAAACTAAATGAAGGTATAAAGTGGGGAGTTTTCTTCACCCAGCCAGGTAAAAGGAAGATAAGGAAAGAATGAGAAAAAGAAAAAAAAGAAAGTATCTCTAGTGAAACAGGTTCTGACCAAGGATGGTTCTGTCATGACTGAATTAGTTGTTAGACGTACAGTGCCCAGTGCACCATTTTGTTCATATTTAAAGCCTCTGAACTAGCAGGGGAATGAAGGGAAAAATTTGACTGATATCAATTTTTATGGGATTTAGACCACAGGGTGCCACCTCTTCTTGCAGTAGGACTTTTAGCATAGTACTACAGACAAGGAAAGTTAGACAAGCACTAAGCTGAAACAACACCTTTAGCATACCAAGCATATACTCAAAAACCTTGCTCATAGAGTAGCTTTCTGAAAAAATGCAAGCTGTATAGGCAGAAAGATAATGTGAAACTTACACTTCAAGTAAAGCTTGATGCACTGCAAAATAATTTTAATGAGACTAGAGCTCATTTTCTAATTCTAAAATGATATTATAGAAAACCATAAAAAATTACCCGGCAGTAGTTTTTTGAAAGGAAAATATATTTGTAATTATCTTGAACACGCAAGATTACTTCAGGGCCTATTATCGACACAATTTTGGTACCACTTTACAGTAATTTGCATTTATTACTCTCAGGCCAACTATTAATATGTTAATAAATAAGTCATTAATACTTGTTATTTAATTGCTATCTATTTATTCCTGTTCAATAATGCATTAATTACTTGTGAATAGTTGAGGGCAAAATCCTGCCCTTGCTAGTGCAATCAGCAGTGGCAGAGAGGAAACCAGTATTGGACATGTTAGCATTGCAAGAACTGCTGATCTGATAGAGCGCAAGTGCTTTAACCCATTTGGTGCAAGGAGAACATTTCATTCTGTTGGATGAAGCCTAATGAGTCTCCACATATCTAGTGAATATGCTGGGAGGACAATTGGTGTGTTTTCTGTTTGAAGGTTGAGTGCTATTCTTAGTGGATTGCGTGCCTGATTTTTGAGCAAACTGGTATGTAGGAATGGATAGTGAGACTAGGCCAAATGTAGGGCAAGGATGTCTGACTGTGAATCAAACAGATCTGATTATCTAAAATTTGGTATCTCTGTAGTTGCATGATAAATCTTACCCACGGACACAAGTAGAAGTGTTTCCGTCGCCTTTCAGGAAACATGATTTCCAAAAGACAGGTGAAAAGTAGCAGAGATGGTTGTTATTTTGGGCAGTAATAATAGGTAGAAAAAAGATAGGAAGAGTTGGAAAGAATAATAACGTAGTTCAGAATTGTGGGATTCTGAAGGAAAAGTCAGCAAAGCACAATGTGATAAAAGGAGAAAAGAAAGGAAAGTTGTCTCAGAATTTATGAAGAAGACACAATGATACTAAAGAAATGGAATTAGAACAGAGATGCTAGGTAAAAAAAGGTGATATGAAAAGCGTTACACAATCGTGTTACTTCTGGTTAGACTAAGAGAAAGTTCCTCTTAACAAATTAAAGATAATATCACCAAGTTAGAGATCACTGTGCTGCAAATGGACAAATGAAAACATGTTGAGAGAGCAAAAGAATAGAAAGTGTTAATTTTCTTTATATTTTTCTTCTTTTCACAAAAATCTTTCCAATGGTGAGTTGTACCTTATATGTTTAAGTTCTATCACTCCGTGTATATGAGATTTAACGTCTTTAAAAACAACAGATGGCTGTGGTGAAAGATAAGACCTTATAATTGTGGCTTGTGGTTTCTTTTCCCCAAATCAGTTCCGGTGATCTTTGGGAATCCTAGCAATTTGTGAGTTCATGATCGAGCTTTTTCCTAAGCATAACCCATGCTATATAACTTTCTGAAACCACTCACTGGAGATTTCCACACAACGTTTCCAGCAATTTGGATTTTACCCAGAATCTAAAAGGTTTTTTTTTGAGCTCTGAGAGTACAATAGGAGATCAGTAAGAAGCAGTAAAGCCAGTTTTGAGCATATGCAGAAATATTAGCAGTAATATGGGATTTGATCTTTTAGCCAGTATGAATAAACCATTAGATTTATCTGGGCTAACACACAGTTGTTTTAACTAGTACTGCTAAACTCTGCTACTCTGAGACAATTCTGCTCAGCAGATAGAGATGACCATCTATGTAATTAAAAATAATAATCTTTCTGCTACAGAAATGGTTGGAGGGAAAACTTTACTAGTTTGTGGTCCAGCATTGACTTCATTAGGGCCAGCGTTTCTGTCTATCTGTCTAGGCAAAGGAGAAGGGAGGAAATACGGCCACGTCTCACTGAACTTCTTTGTGATCTGTGTATTTAATGTCAGATTCTCATCTGGGGTAAATTATTGAAGACAGAGTCTATATTTTTTTGAATATTGAATGGTGATTGAAAGTCATGAGATGAGCAGAGGGAAAGCTCAGCCCACTGATAGAATGTTAGAAAAAATAAAGCAAAACGTAAGGTCCGAAAAAGAGCGTAGCATTCCATGGTCTCTTAACTTTAAAATATACTAATTCTCTATGAAACTTTGAGGCCTTTCTTGAAATGTGTAGGATCAAATTGACCAAATGGCTCTGAAGCACTTTACTTGCTGTTCTTTTAGAGTATTTAGTTCACAGGGAAGTGAAAAGGAAAAAAGAAGGCTGGATGCATTTGGAATGGTCAATTCTTCTGGCTATATCCAGGTATGTTATTAAAATCTCACAACAGTTGATTATTAATTTGTCACAAATCGTGTATGTTTCATCTGCTGCAATAAAGAAGGTGATGCATAGTAGGTAAAATGATAGATTCTTTTGCCTGGGTAGTTATGTCTGACAAGTGGAATTACAGTGAGCCAGTAGAGTAAAATTGTATACGCCTTTCTTGAGGCCATGTTGTATCCTTCTTAAGGAAACAACAATTACCAATTGATGAAAGAACAAATAGGTGTGTGAGCCGCTTTGAATCTGAAGCTCGCATGGCAACAAATTAATAGAATTTCAAAAAGATGAATTTTGCAGAGGCAAGGTTATGTACAGTGCTTCTTTTTTTGATTTTCATTTGATATATGATAAGGCTATACATTGAAAATGAAACGATGTAGTCAAAGTCCATGGAATTTGTTTAGGGAGGATTGTAGACACAATCTTGTTTTTAGAAAACGTATTTTGTTTCCATCTTCAAGAACTAATTTGTTCAGGGCTCCTTCGCTATCCCTATTATATCCACAATATAGGATTTCCAGACTGAATGGTAACAAATCATTTTAATCCTATAATCAATACATGAATTATATAAAGGTGTTAGTGCAGATGGAAAAAATTAATTGTCTGCTGACATCCTTCTGATTACTGTACTGGCAGAAAGGTGTTAATTTCTGTAATACTTCAACAGATATCCAAACTGTTTTGTCAGATAGGTTGGACAGTGATGGAGGAGGAGTACACTTAACTGTAATTTTTGTAGTAATTCATGGGAAGCTTTATTGACATGTGCTAATGGCACTTGATTGCCCTCAAGAGGTTTTCACAACAGAACTCTGCAAGTGCCACATCAAGGTTTGCTCAGTCAAGTAGTTTTTTTTCTCCTTGCATCTAGATAATTTGTGACCACAGGCAAACTTTTGAAAATCCAAGGTGGTTTGGAACAATCCATTGGGGTGAATCTGTCATCAGCTGGCTGGTACAGATTGGTGCACTAATGAAGAGCAAGCTCTTTGTGTTTTTTGTCATTTCTGTGCAAGCAATCCATTTCATTTCTCCTCAGTGGCAGGGCATGTTATACATCTCATCCCATATAATCTCACATTATAATTTGATTCATACACATCCTTTCCACAGAGATTAATTAGCAGCAGATTTTAAGTTTGCAAGTGAAAATATGATAATTAGTTTTCTTGGAATGTTAACATTTCAACACTCCGGGTTCTCTCCATCTTTGTCTTCAATGAAGCTGCAGTAAACGAGCACTATTTCTCTTCTAAATCAGACTCTTGTGAGGTTTGAAATACAGACATTTTCATCAAGCTGGATAATTTCCATACAAAATTTACTAGCTTATGAAATATTGCAAGAGTAATTCATACAGCAACTCCCTCCTCCTCCTGGAGGATGAAGTATGTATGATGTGAGCAGTTCTGAAAACCCCCAGGATAGTCACTTATTTAACAACAGTGATTTCTATTCTTTGTAACAAAAATCAGCTGACTCTTCATTTTTGCACAAAATAGAATCAGCCAATAGGTCTCTTGTACAGTAGTTGTGTAGTGTTATAAACATGGTTGCATTAATATCTTTGACTCTGCTCTCATTTATTCTCTTGGAGCGTATAATTCAAGCATTGGTGCATACAGTATCTCTATGTTTAGTCACTTAGCATGATTCTGACTAGAATTTGCCACTTACCTGAATAATGAGAACACTCAAACAGTTAAAACAGCGACTAGAAATGTTGCATGAAAGATCAACCCTGATGATTTTAAGACAGCGTAATTGCTAACAGATGGGGCTTAAGAAGAAAATTGTATTATGGGAAAGTTATTGTATTTTTGTCAGTTACAGGTAGGTGTAAGTGATTAAAAGATAATATTGTTTAATTATTTATGATTTCTCCTCCTTAATATATTGATTTTTTCTTTTTTTTTTTTCTTTTTTTGGCAATGATACGATCTTTAAAATCCTCAGTCTTCCATAATTACTGAGTCCATCTCAGCTTCTTACATCTTTAGCATTACTTATTCGCTGAGCTTGGGCAGGGTAGTGTAGATGCCCGTTAATCTTGGCAGGAAAGTGGGGTAATTCAAATATTTCTGCTAATGTTCCCATTATATGTGGATCACCACGTGATTATAAGCTTGCGTTTGTGATTGTATGAGGTGCATGTGCCAACTACGTATATAATTGCCAGCATGTTTTCACAGATTGGGTTTTAAGTTTTTTCCTTAAGAGGAAATAGGTCTACTAGTGTAGACTGTAGTGTTGACTGTCACACAAAAGTTTGTTACCAGAGAGTGATGTGCATTAAGTGCATTAGAGACTACTTGAGTAATGTTATAAAACTGGCACTTCAATTATTTTGCTTTCTAGTAATGACTTTCAAATGTTCTGGGGACCAAATGGTATTTTTTTCCTTTAAATACAAAAATCCTGCAGCAACAGCAGGGACTATTGAAGACACAATAATAAAGTGAAATTTTCAGCCCAATGAATGGGACAGGAGGGATATAGCAGGAACTGAACAAATCTTGGCTGTATATAAGAGTAGCTGCAGGAAAGCCAATGCAAAGGCTCTGTATCTGTCTTGCCTCTGTATCTGTCCACACAGTGAGTTTATCAAAGATACACACTTGTTTTCAGGCCCATATGTGCCTGCCCTCTTCATGTCTTAACCTGAACCAAAATAATCTTTGTGCCCAATTTTACAGATTTTTGACAATTTTACAAATTTTTGTCTGAAAATAAGTCTTACAGAATTCAATATGCTTATATACACTCATCTATCCTGGTTTAAGATATGCCAGTCTGCGACCACAGAATGGGCTACAAAACAGAGCTCTGGCTCGAGATTTGAAATAGTCACCTTTTCAAGCTGAACAGAATTGGATGCTGAGTTAGATTTCCTCTGCTGACACTTGACAGCTTCCACCAGAGCTTATTTGTCCAGATCTTATTTGCTAGAGCTCTCTGAAGGGATCGTAAATTTCTCATCCACTACAGTTTTTCTATCTTAGTGATTATCAAGGCTTCTAAAATAATAACTATTTCCTGGGTCTGTTTGAAATCTGGCACAAGTGTCTCTGAGGCCAGCCAGCGAGACTTTGTTGTTGCATGCAGCCTTGTTTTCTCCTGAGCCACAAAGTGGGAGAGGAAGCTATGCCCCAGGGAGGTAAGGTTGTAAGGAATTCCTGCCAACAACAAAAAAGAGAAGGAGGCAAATTGACTGTTTTATTAGGAACATGATCTGTAGCGTTTTTCATCTGGAGAGGGGATTGTTGCATGTTGATGAATATGGGTATCGTATCACAAGAGTGCTAAAATGCCCCTGAGCGAGTGTGTTCCTTCTGCTCCCCTTCAGCAGCTCCTACTATCCCAACTACTGACCTGTGAAATGTGGTCACATCCTCTGGATTTTTCATGTATTTTGAAAGCTGTGCAAAATATTACCCTAAACAGTTAAATGGGAGTTATATGTACAAGGATATGAGCATTAATATTAATGGAAAATCTGTCAGGTCAGGTGGTCAGAATGGGATAATTATGCCATTCAGGTAACCTACAAATACAAAAGGCTTCATGGGCATACTGTTTCAAAACTTTCTCAGTTCTGTCCAAAATAGAACTAATTTTAATAATCAACATTTCTGAAATAAAATCTTGAACTTTTCATGGGGGTATAGCGAGATCACCAAGAGAAAAGGAGACCAGCTTCTATCTTTGGCACGCTCTGAATGGAGGTGAGGCCAAACTTTGAGCCTGACCACATCTTGGTGCTAATGAGAACAATTCAGACAATATGCTGCCCACAATAATCCTAGAGCCTCCTGCTGCCTTTGGATACCTCTCTCTGTGCCTAATAGCTCTGGGATCTTCTGATGTGTTTATCTTTCCCCACTGGCTAAATGCTGGGCCTTATTTACACATCAGGCTCCTTGAGTATGGCTCCAAATGTGCATCATTCATGCAGTGACACAAATATCAGCATGTTAAAAAAAACCCACAAAACTGTGCTATACTAAGGTATGAGGATGAAAGAATCCCCAGAATGAGAGAGGAAAATGGAAAGGGCACTTTGAGGAGCTGATCTTCCCCAAGCCACAGCAGCCCATTTGGTGTTCTGGGCCATTTGCCTGGGCAGTCATCAGGAAGGGTTATTTAAAAATAGGAAATAGCAACTGGTCAGTTAAAACATCTCAGAAAGTTCTGTGGCTCCTGTCAGATGAATGGCCATTGAAATTGGCACATTGGCCATGACAGGAGAAATTCTTTGACAAATCAGTCTTTCTGCACAGAAAATTATCCCATCAGAAGCACTCCAAGTAGTGGTAGCCTGCAGGCCTGGAGCTTGAACTCCATCATGGCATAAAAACCTTTTCAACTTTGTTTTCTTTTGCAGCTGAGATTACCCACTTAGGACTTGTAGTTTAGACTTCTTCCTAGATAACCCCCCTTTTGTACTAAGGGGTCTTGCCTGAGAGAGCAAGGCTGCCAACTAGATCCTTACTTCACTAGCTCACAAAGAAAGATGTTGTTTTAGC